ATAAAAAATAAATATTTAAATTATATAATAATCTAAAATTTTCAAAACACCTCCACAAATTCTCTCTATACATGCATCCCGGTGCTATGAAAGGAACACGAGCAAGCTCAGAAGGTATAGAGTGATCAATGTTTGGTTGTTTGTAGGCTGTAGCTGCAACGTTTAATGATAAACAGAGATTGTTAAGGGACAGGGGGGTTGCCATGCAAATGAAGATGAGAGAAAGGCAATGATTACTGACTTGGTTGGAGGGATGAGTGCCTTGGAATCTGAGCCACCCCTCCCCATGCACTGACCGCGACTATTCCTTAAAACCCACGTTCCCATGCACGCATTTTCCTTTTTAAATCTTAATTAAACGACCCCACCATTCATGTAATCTCATTAACCCTTTTAATTATCAGAATCTTGGTCGATAGTTTTAATCTTTAGTCTTTACTCCTTCCTGCTCAGCTCTCTCCCTTCAGGTGTGTTGAAAAGATAAAGTGCAGGCTCTTTATTGGAATGGGGTTTTCATTTCAGCAAACAAATGAAAGAAGAAGAAGAAAGATTGGTGTTGCAGATGTGTAAATGAAGGAGCTAGGGGTTGGGAGACAATGTTTGTGCATGTATACATCAACATTTATCATGTATATGAATCGAAAGGGTAATGAGGAAAGAGATGAAAGGGTGGGGGGACCAAGCTAAGGGAGAGTAGTTAAAATCATCTCCGGCCTACACCTATAAATGTGGTGGTGTCTGACAGATCTCGACGGGGGAGCAAAAGGCTGAAAGGATAATGTACCACCACTGAGCAGTCACAAGTATCGAGTTATAACATCTTACAAACGTCTCTCAACTCTCTTTCTCAATCAGATACACACAAAATTCCCATCACATCTACCCTAAATATCTTTTAGATTTTAAATGCCCATATCTATTTACGCACTAAATAACATTTTAGATTTATATACCGCATTTGTTAATACGCACATATATCTACCTCACATTTTTAATTTATCGAGTTATTTTAGCGATTAAAAAATATTATATTTTTTAGAAATTTTAATTCAAACAATTATATTTAATATATATATATATAATTATTATCAATTAACTAAATAAATTTTTAATAAATTTTAAACATATATTAACTTATCGTCATCTAAGCTAATGAAAAAACTCGCCATTTATGTCTATTTGTGTTAAAAGAATATATATACATTGGTACGTTGTTGCAAGCTAGTGTTTCGTGAGTATCGAAGCGGTTTCGCAAATCCCAATTTGGGTCAGCATCTGGAGTTGAGTCAAGTTTAGTTTTCAAGTAAAAATTTATGTACTTAAAAGATCTCCTGGAGTGTCAATACAAAATATAAAGATAGAAAACAGCAGAAGGAGATAAAACCATGGGATCATGTAATTGTATCAAATTAAGCAGTGACCATTGAAAATTATATAAAAATATTAACATATATAATTATATAAAATTTAAATATTTTTAAAAATATGATGGTCCTTCAATCCCCTCGATATATCCCTAGGTATCCTGCTAGCTGCTAGCTAGCTTCACCCAATTGCCAAGGTAAGTGATGTGGTCCAACACTACCATTGCTGTAATATTTTTTTTCAGATGAAGTACACAAACGGTCTCTTTATTAGAAGATATTATTTTATTTAAAAATTGATAGTCAATTGAGCTTGACGTTAAACTGTTGACTGAGATATGATAATATTTAATCATAGAATCTCAGACGGCTATGTAATTCAAATAGTTTTAGGATCAAATTTTTATCATATCTCAATCAGTAAGTTAACTTCAGCTTAGACAACCGTTAATTTTTTTAACGGAAAAAGATGATTTTAAAATATATAAATAATCAGATGATTATTTTATAACTTTTAATAGTCAATAGGTCAGACCTAGCCGTAGAGAAAGGAGAAAACAACGGTGAAGTGATGGTGTTTGCTTAGCTAGCAGTGCGTGCCATACACATTAATCCTTCACATGGCTAGGTGGGTACCCTAATTCAATTCCAGGCCATGAGTTTGTGTGGTTATGAATCCAATGGACCACTTCATATATTATGAAATTAGATGGTTAAAAATGCGGGACACAGTTTGGCAGACAAAAACCACGTGCAATCATAGTTTTTAGTTTAAACTTACATATGTGAGTTCCTTAAGGTGATAGAGGGATCGGAAAAACAAGACAGCGACATGCAGACACACCTGCCATTACCTCGATCCATACCTGCATAGCTGTGTGGACGCTGCTGCAGTTTTGTAAGAAGTAGGGTTTGCTTGCTGCAGGCCTGAATGAGTTCACCACAAACGACATTACCCTACAATTACGCTTTTAATATAATTGACCACAACAAACAAAACCTGCAAAACATAAAAACAACAGCTTGCAAACAATACGAGTGTTCGATGCATAGTATCAATAAAATCTTCACATTAGTTTATAAAATTAGTTGTTTTCAGTTTATATTTATAAATTCCATAATTTTACGCAAATATTTTTTTTGAATTTCTTTTAAAAAAATCGAGATTTATTCGTTTTTCATTCTTTATTAATTTAAATTGTGAAATATTAAAAAAAGACGCGTTACATTCTAGGTTGTCACATGTCGAAGTTTGATCAAACATACCCTTTCTTAGAACACAATTAAGAGTTTATTACATGGTTATAAAAGAGTAAATATTACTTGTGGTATATCCACAGATTTATTAAATTACGACGTGACAATAATATGAAGTCAATGAGATGCGGGTTGGCTTTTACAAATTGAATAAATTGGAAAATATATAACATAAAATGGTGGAATTAAAGCTAGCTACCGTAAGAAATTATTGATTGATTGAATTTTTTTTTATTAACCTCGATGATTATAAAGTAGTATCTGATTAAAAGATTTTTAATCATTTGATAATAAACGTTCAAACAACCTTATAGATAGGGGTGTTCAAACGGTTAATTCGGTCACCAAGCAAACCGAATTAACTGAACTTTTTTTTCTTTAATCGTTAACCGAACCCAACAAATTTCTGTTAATTCGGTCAATTTTCAAATTAACCAAAAACATTTAAAATTTTCTAATTTATATAACAATTGAATATTTTTAATTAAAAAATAGTTTATAATTAATTTAAATAATATATAGCTTTTATTTAATTAATTAATATTGATTTAGGTTTAAAAATTATTGGATCTTAAATTATTAATTGGGGTTTAAATGGTTTGGGCTAAGACTATATGTTATATATAATATATTTAAAATTTAAAATTTAATTTCGGTTAATTAACCGATTTCAAATCGAATTAACCGTTAACCGAATTCTAAAAAAATTATTAATTGTTCCCCGACCGAACTAATTCGGTGACCGACCAAATTAACCGAACTAATTCGGTTCGGTCGGTTAATTCGGTTAAAACCAAAAAAATGAACACCCCTACTTATAGACGTTAGGCTTGATTTTAGAACCTCCAGAGATAACAATGATCCTTTACTCATTGAGATTGTTTGGTTCGTATATTGGTTGAATTTTTTTTATTAATCGAAGTGATTACAAGGTAGTACTTTTTGAAAGACGTTAAATCATTTGACAATAAATGTCCAAACACTCCTATAGATGTTGTGCTTGAACCTCTAGAAATAACATCAATCTCTTAATTATTGAGATTACTTAGTTTGTGTAGTTAATTTAATGGATGTGAAATATTTATAAGAAAATTGAACCTCTTAATTAGTTTTTACTTAAATAATGTGTGCGTCTCACTATCAAAATGCTTATATAATGAGCTATACATAAGGATTAATGATTGGTTTTGAAGTAAAAAAAAAAGGAAATTGAGGACTTTAATCGTTTTTGTTCAAATAGATTCTAAATGAAAAGTTCAAACTAATTGTTTCGTTGGAATTTGAATTCCCAACTACACATAATCTCGTGGCAACATCATGCATGTAATACAATATTTAATGGCCATATATGCTAGGTGGATAGGCAGACCTGCTTTTTTGGTGGTCTTTTTATTTAGAAAAACTACATTAATGGTTGCTAATTTTTTTAAATAATTTATTAATTTAAAAAATACATTTTAATCATTAACATGAATACATGTAAAAGTATAAACTATAATGATCATATCAACATGAATACTAAAATTTGGATTTCTCATAATGTACATAATCACCAGAATTTTACTTGGAATAGATAACTTTAAGTGTCGTCAGTTAAATTAATACATACAAAAATATCAGTTGATGGTTAAAAAACTATTGAATTTAATCTTAATTATAAATTATAATTAATATATTTAAAAATTACTTCATTCACAAATATATATTTTACAATTTTATTATTAATAATATATTTAACATAATGAGAAGTTAATTTTTTTTAGACCGCTAAAAATTACAAAACGATAGATTTACTGAAACAAAGAGGATAAGTTTATACTTATGCGTATATTTTTTCCTACTTAAATTAATTTTTATTGATAGTAATAAAGTCAATTACAATCAATTAATAATTCTAACAATTAAAGTTATAAAAAAATTGTTTAAAGCAAAAGTGAAAAATTGATTGCCCCAGCATATTTGTTTGGACTTGCAGAAGAGATCTCCTTTGATACTGCATCATATAGGTATAGAAGTACAAGTAATGCATACAGAAAGAAAATATGGTAATAATGAAAATTCAGGTATATTCTATATCAACTTTTGATTAATAAAAAAGGCCTTAAAATGTAATATGAATGAAATTGAAGTGATTCCTATAAAAGTACCCTTTTCTCTAGCATTTTTACTCCTAATAATAATCCCCACGGAAATACATGCCCACCCACTCTGATTTCTGATACTGCACTGCAAAACCCTAATCTTTCTTAATTAAATACTACTCTAAATCCAAATTTACATGGCTTTTTCAACTGAATATATTAAGCATTAATAACAATTCTTAATCAACGTTAACTACGCTATCTTCCCAAACTGCAGCTAAAATTCCACACTCACCCGTCAATATGGTGTTGGTCTATGCCCTAGTCGAAGCTCCAGATCAACCTCTTCGTTGAGATTGTTATTATCCGCCGGCGGTTCGGCTCCGGTTATCGTCGAGTAACGGAGAGAAGAAGAAGAATTGTACGACCCCGGTGGTGCCATGGAGTTGTTAAAAGGATACGGTGGCAATGTCATAGAACATGCGTTGATAAGCGGAGAAGTGAAAACCCCATTAGGTGTAGGTAATTGGTAGAGAAAGCAAAGGCCGCCATTTGTGGGGAATTCTTGAGCGGGAAACGCTGATGAGGTTTGATTGATTAATGGAACAGTGGTAGTGGCAGCAGCAGCAGGAGGAGGATGTGACTGGTGAAGACGAGCCCTGTCGCGGCGGTGCACATTCATGTGGCCGCCGAGGGCTTGAGCCGACCGGAACTCCCTTCGGCAGAAAGTGCAAGTGTAAGACCTAGGGGGCCAAGTTGTGCCCATGGCATGACCTCGGTCCTCGGCAAAGGCCTTAACCTCCCATGAATCGTCGTCGGATTCATGGGGTTGGGGGTTATGGTTCCACACCCAGGAGCCAGCAGCTGCCATTAGGTTTTGGTGGTGGTTGTGGTTTTGTTGAGACTGAGCTACGTTTTGCGTCAGTGAGAGAAGGCTAAGGTCAGCAGCCATGGTGACATTTAAGATAGAGGGAGATGAGGATTGAAATGAGGGGGATGGGTTAAATATAGTGGGGGGGGGGGGGAGGGGATGGGCTTAAAGATAGGAAGATATAGGACAAAATAGAACCCTAACACAGGGCATATCACCCCAAAGCATCTGGATATATGCAACAATGGCATTATAATAATCAAAGTTTGGCCACTCAACTCAACTAGCTATCCCTATTGTGCACGAACTTTGTCATACTTTGGCTGCAACGCCATCTGTTTGCTGCTTCAGATCTCCCTCATGCATTTCTTGCTCTTCAATTCAATCTAAAATACCATTTAAATACATTGTACATATCAAATCATAGTGGATGCCTCCAACTAAGTTTATCCAAATTAATTTTATTAAATTAGTTTGAGTTAAATTATTTATTCAGTTTACTGCTAACAATATTTATTCAGTACGATCTCGTGTAATTATCTATCAATTTGTGGGTCTCTTCTTTGAGTGTAATAAGAGGTATTAATTACAATCTTCAATTCTTTGAGGAGAGGATGGGAATTGATGTAATTACACAAATAATTATATTTTTTAATTATTGATAATATACATCCTACCTACGTAATTGTTTGAACTCACAACATTTAAAAAGAATAACACTCCCTTTAACAAGTAAAACCACTTAATGAATTCAAAATTGAAACATTAATATTATTTTGAAATGTAAACATGTATAATTTTATGTTTACAATTAATTTGTATCATTAAACATAATATAAGAAATTATGATGTAATTTCACTATGTCGATCAAACATGTATAGGAAATTATAATTTCCTGTGATTACACGAGAATTTAATTACTGGAGTAATAATTACATTTTTCATATGATTATATTATGGTGTCAAACACACTCTAAGTTTAATAGAATTTGGATAAACTACTCATTTAGTACTTAAACTATTAGTTTTGGTCCGTTTTAATACTTAAACTTTCAATTTTTTCAAAATCATAACTAAAATTTAGTTTTTGTTTCATTTTAGTCCCCACTATTAAAAACTTAACGCGTTTAGTATATAAACTATCAATTTTGGTCCATTTTAATACCTACACTTTCAATTATTTTCAAAACTTAACGTTAAATTTTGAACATGGGTACTAAAATGAAACAAACACCGTAACACCCCAATTTCCGGTCTAGTAGTTTCGGGTTTAACCGAGAGGGTAAGTGAACCCCGCAAAAATTCTAATTTAAGTCGTTGGACTTAATTGAGTTTGGAATCGAGCCCAATTAACCATAAAAATGAGATATTTATTGTAGAAAAACAAGGAAGGACTAGTTGTGAGTTTTCCCATTTTTCAAAAATATTCCTTTTTATATTCTTTATCTTCTTCTGCTCCTTATTTCTCCATTCTTACTTCTTCCTCTTCCTCTTATAAGGCAAAATCAAAGGTAAGTTTTTGAGCCCATTTCATATTTTATTTTCGTCCTAAATTCATCTAGTAACCTTAGTTTAACGAATCAAAGTCTTGGTTTAATCCTAGCTAAAGAACAATAGGGGTTTTCATCCACATCATCAAGGAAAGGATTTTGGCAAAGAAATGAACTTCATTTTGAGATCCTATTATCAAAGTAGTGTATTTCTAATTCTTTGGAGTATTAAGATTTCATAACTAGGATTTGAGTATTTAAGTATTTTAGGGTTTATAGTTGATGTTACGATTAAATGACATTCTAGGGGTTATTAATGCATTTTTATGACACCTTAGGACCCTAAACAACTTATTAAAGATTCAAAACAATATTAGAAACCAAACCATGTCCTTTAGGATGATTTTTTGGTGTTTATACCCATTTCAGAGTTCAAGTTTCAATACTGGGATGAACAATATCGATATTGGTTGAATCAGGGCAAACATTAAGGTTTATGGCAGAGGGTATTGATACTGAATGCTCGATCTCGAGACCACTCAGTCTCCATACTGAAAGACTGGTCTCCATACTAAAAAATTGGTCTTCATACCGAATAAACGGGTATCCATACTGAAGGCTTGGTATTAATACCCAAAGTGGTTAAGTGACTTCAAGATGTCAAATAGACTCAAGAGTGAGGAGTTTAATATCGTTTGAGTTCGGACATCTATCTCGGGTATAAGAGAATGACTAAAATGCCCTTAGGGGCTAAAATTACCAAATTACCCTTATAAGCTTCAGAGCAAGTAACTAAGAACGAATGATCATTATAAAGGACATACCGACATGTGGTATGATGAATTAATCAGACTACGAAATATATGAACCATGTACTATAAGAATGTTAGTGAATGATGGACGTACAGTCGTCCCTCTAACTCAAGGGTGAATTAAAAGAAAACTTAGCAAGAGGACTAGAGTGTCATTACTCAGAGTTGAACCCGAGTCAGTTATCGGGCTAGTGAATAGTATAACCAGTGAACATAAATCATATAAATCGTCGTAAAAACCCCGATATATGTAAAAAACTTCGCTAGAAGAAAAATGACTAAAATACCCTTGAGTAATGAACGACCAACATCTCGTTCGATTCCATCAAAGAAGAAGGTGGATTGACATTTTTATTTCTCTCAAATCCATCAAAGAAGGAGGTGGATCGACATTTTTATTTCTCTCAAATCCATCACAGAAGGAGTTGGATCAGCATCAACTTTTTGTTCGATTTTATCATAGAATGAGGTAGATCAGCACCAACATTTCGTTTGATTCCATCACAGAAGGAGGTGGATCGACATTTTTATTTTGCTCAAATCCATCACATAAGGAGTTGAATCAGCATCATCAACATTGTCATTCTTGCTCGATTCATCACATATGGAGTTAAACCAGCAACACCTCGCTTGAGGGATCAACATTTCTGGAAGAAAGATCACGATGAGAAAAAACCTGCGACTTGAATAATTGAAGATGAAGACTTAACCAAGAGAACGAAGTAAAGATGACATCATTTGCAGCAAGAACTCGACGATTTCACAGAAAGAGAAGAATTGACATTCCCAATGAAATTTCACAGCCTGATAAGAATGAACCAAACAGATGAAAATTGGTGTTTTACGTCTTTGCTCTATTCTTGTTTCACAGCAACGAGCAAAGAGGGGCAGTTGTAATCACCAATTTTCAACTAGGCAAAATAAAAGTCAAAAAGCTTACCCCACCAACTTGCTGCTGTCGCAGCTGCCACAGGAACACTTTCCCCTATTTCCTGCCAATGCCAACTCAAAAGGGATAAGTGCATGTGATATTTTATCCAAAACATCATCACACCAACCAAGTTGTATTATTTTAAAATGTAAAATCATTGTAAATTTGGCTATAAAAAGCAGAATGTATGTATCAACAAAGGGGGGATTCGAGCAGCAACGAAGGGAAACAATTGTAGGAGGATTTTCGATCAATAAGAATAGGGGATTTATTTTTATCAATAAGAACCGGTTATTTCTCAAGCAAAAGGTATCCTAGTTTTTTTTTCTTCGCTCTTGATATATTTGATAAATTATCAGAATGTAAAAAGTATAGTTAAATTCCTAGTTTAGTTCTTTGTTTATGCAAAATTTTTGATTTTTTTAAAAAAAATAAGATTCAGGATTTCGATTACCTTGCTGCCGTTGGGATCGTCGGGATAGGAGCGTCTTCGGTCTAAGGCCCTACGGTGGGTGTCGCCGTTCTTGTTAAAGAGGGAGAGAGAGGAGTTAAAAAAATATTTCTAGGTTTTGTTTTGGTTTTTACACGCAGAAATGAATTTGGGGGAAGAAATGTGAAGTTATTTTGTGTTTTGGGCTAATCACGCTTAAGGTCCCAAATTTTTTAGTGTCTTTTAGTTTGTTTATTTGTTTTAGGGTTAAATATAAGTCCATGTCCTCACAGTTTTAGAGTTTTATGTTTTGGTCATTATCAGGGTAAAATCATCTTTAGGCTCCCCTTATTTTAGCTTCTTTTGCACTATGGTCATTTACTTTGTTATTTGTTTCGAATATGCATATTTATTTTATTAACTTTCGAATTTAGCCACTGCTTATTTCCTATTTAGTTACTAACTTTTATTTTCCTGCATTTTAGTCATTGTTATTTTATATTTATGCAATTATGTCTTTATTTTATTTTATATTTTAAATTTTTTATTATCTTTTGTTTTAATTATTAGTTTGTTTTTAATTGTTTTGTTTTATAGTTTTAATTCTAAATTTAGTTTTTAAATTAGATTAATATTCTAATCAAATTCAGAAATTATGATGACACTTTAGTCTTAATTAGGGAGCAATTCGAGTCGAGTTTTCGCAATAGATGCTCGATTACTCGAATCAATTGCTCGAATTTTAAAATTTATTAATAATTAATATTTTCTAAAAATTCTAAGTTTAATAATTTAGATAAAAATTAGGTTTTAATTTAATCCTCAACTTTAGAATTTGTCAATTTAGGTCCTTAGACCTTTAAATCTTTTAGAATTGGTACTTTAGATTTTGACCCTTTAATCCCCAAGTTCGATTAGACTTTTAATATTGACATAATTAAATAGGATTAATATTATAGTCTACGTTTTAGGCTTGAGCCCCTAGGTTCTTTAATTTTCATAATTTGACGCCATAGGTTAGAAAAAGCCTTAATTTATTTTTAGTATAATTATGATTAAATAAAATTTTGCTTGATTGCATTGTTTTTTAAAACTTAAGGCACTGTTCAATTATTAAGGAGTTAATAGTATATTCTCTGCGTTCGTGCTCAGGGGGTGACTACTGGTAATTCCCTAAATAAGTCGACATCCTTTTCAAAACCACATCCTGTTTTCTAAAAACGAGGCAATGCTCGATCATTAAGCACAATAGTTGATCTCTCGTATTTACGCTCGGGGGCGAATGCCATCGGTCTCAATAAACGAATACCATTTTCAAACTCTGCATCCTTAATGATTTCTAAATTAAATAAAGACCGGACTCAAAATTTTTGATTTTAAATATAGGGTAACCAACTAGGTACTAATTTTTGGGCGC